GAGGAGAAGGTCGAGGTCGTGGGAACAATTTCCTCGACACGGCCCCGACTTCTCTCCTCGATCCGGCGCGCCGCGCCGCCGCTATCTATGCTGACTAACTAGCCTACAGAGAATCTCTCCGCCTCGCAAGCTCGGCTGGCTCTTCTCACCCAGCCAGCTTTCCCTGAATCCTGGATTTGAAATTTCTGGTCCAGTGAGTGGGCCACTGGCCACTGGTAAAAAGTAAAGTTCGACTGTCCTCTGTTTTGAGTCTAGCTACAAGAAATTAGCCACTGACCAGAGTGTATATTGTCGACTTTGGAGCTATCTATCACGAGTATAGAGCCAGTACTGTGGCTTTGAACTTTGCGAAGACTAGGTAAACTTCCATCCATCGTCCCTTAGAGCCTGCACCGCCGCATCGGCCTTATTCTTTGGAACCAGCACATAATCCGTATTCCTGTGATCAATCGATGAGGGCGGTCGGGTTGTTTCAGCTAGGTTCACTTACCAAGTTGAGAGCGCAAATATAGGGATGCCTGCCCGCTTGAGAGGGTTGCTCAGGTCACACATGATTCCAGTGAGTCCTGACGAGGTGGACAATTTATCAACGCATTTCCGCTTGCAACGCGCAGGATCATACCAAAATCCATCGGTCCCGTTATCTTGATGCAGCTCCAAGTGGCATCTTCTGCGTTGTGTTCGAAATTGACCTCCCCGACGATCGAGATCTCGTCGTTGGTGCGAGTGATAGACAGGAATTTGCCTCCGATGTTTACGTTTTGCAGAGAGGCGAGTATAGAGGTAGGGAGGGGCTCGGTGGGTTTCAGCTGCGAGACGAAGAATGTGCCAGGTAACAGCTGCAGCTGAAGTGCAGCGTCATTGGACGGTGGTGGCATTGTTATTGGTTTGTGGAACACGCGCGTCTAGTTGGCACTTGTTCAGGATCATTCGCATTCTTCCGTCAGAACCAAACACCTGGACACGAGGTATGATATAGTTCCCATCCCCAATACAAACAGTCCACTTAGGTAGACCCAAATGTCCAACCCGGATACACTGAACAACACTTCTTCTCCCGACTCACGAGCAGACAGTCGGACATCACCTTCAGGTCGAAACAATAGAGAGGGTGAACGTCTCGGAGTGGCTGGAACCTGTGAACACCGTCTGCTGGGTTGATCCGCTCGGCGTCGCGTCCGATGAAAATGCAGTCGATCCACCCGATGCTAAGAGTAAATCGCTTCCTGAAGTCACCTGGATAATTCCTTCAAGTTAGTACGATGTCCGCCCATCTACAACAAGAGATACTCACAGCAGAAAACGTTGTCGAGACACCACTTCCGCAGGAGAGCTTGCCACTGCTAACGCCGCACGATCCCTTGGACGAAGACATGGTGAAGCTGGAAGCCGACCCGCTAATCGTGTACGTTCCGGGGGTCTGGGTGGACCAGGTACCGCCGGAGAGCAGGCCACCAACGGAGCCGGAGGACGTGACAGCGTGGATGAGAGCCTTAGAAGGAAGGGTACCGGGTGCCTAAGTGGAACGTTAAACGAGTTTGCGAGGTGCAGATGGGTGGCAACTTACTCCAGTGGGACTACTACCACCGGCAGACTAATGATAGTGGAGAACACTTCGTCAGTTACTAGTAAGAGAACACAGAACAAAACACTTGCAGTGGTACCAGTAGTAGTCGGCGAACCAGACTTGAGAGGGTATTTGAGACCAGTGGATGCGCACGAACTGCTCTTCGGAGAATCTGGCGAACAGCATCAGTACTAATGGGTGACGCAGACGAATCTCAAGAATAAGTAGTACCAATGAGCTGGAAGGCACCGTCGATGACCGACCCGCGCAGGTGCATGTAGTAGCTGATTTGGTTGATACTGGTGCCAGAGCAACTGAGAGCGGGTGTGACCTGCACGAGGAGGATTAGACAAATGCCTGCAGCGACAAGCATGGTAGTACCCCAGACGCCGACTTGAGGGCCGAGGTAATTTGAGCAAGCGTATAGGTCTTGCTGCTGCTGGGCGTAATGCCAGCGGCTGCAAGCCAGTCATATGTGGGCAGCGTCTAGATAGATAGTGTGTGAGAAGACGATGCACCTATTACAGGCGAGAAAGCCCTACCTTGAAAAGTTTGACCACATTTTCGAAGAAAATGACGGCCTTCACGACAATAAATTCAGCCATTGAAATGAAAATTCAACGGGCTTTCTCACCTCGGCGCCCTTGGCGCTACCAGACGGAAGACAAGACGGCTCCAGAGTACTGTTCCAAGCAATGTTGAGAATGAGGTGAAACAGTGCAAAATTCGACTTGCCTCATGCAGGTACCATGAGTCGACCACTCATGCTATATCCTCCTACGTCAAAAAACGGAATAAATATCATAGAGAAGGCCTCACCTCCCAAAACTGCTCGTTTTTGCCGTTTATATCTACCCAGAACTGCATGCGATTAAAATGATCCAGAATAATGGACAAGAACCGTTCCTACCTGCTGCATGAAACTGAGCGTGTCGCTAGCACCTTGGGCAGTCAAAAGCTGTTCCCAGTGTCAGCATCGGAGCCTAGGATGAGAGAGATCAGCATACACTGGCGATACCCGTATAAGCTCGGGATGAATCGCAGTTCTCTTGGAAGGTGCCGTCGCAGCTTCATGACGTTAGATCATCAACAGTATCTGCCTAGCGCTGCGATACTTACTTGTCGGGCCAGAGACCTGCGGCATGGCGTAAGGGGAGATCGACAACCAGAACAGTAGGAGCACGTACCGTGGATAGTCCAGCTGTTACTGGGACCTGTTGACGGGTTGGTATCCCAGAACTAACGATTGACATTTAAGAAGCGCATAAAACTGGCGGACAGCCGAACTGCTAACCTGTGTCTGCAAGAGCAGACCCTGTGAAAAGGTTGTGTCAAGACATATGCATGATGGTCCTTGGAAAAATGGACATACGCCTGGAGACTCGACGCAACATGTATCACTCGGCGAAGAGGTGCTGCAGGAAACCTGTGCAGAAGTCCCGCATCCTGAGCTTACGCGTTTGGCGAAGCTGTGGAAATTGGCGTCGACGTCGATCGGTCGGGAGAAATCGCTGATGTTGCGAGCCAAGATGGCGGGGAGGGCAGCAATGGCCAAGACCGCGAGTGTGAACATGTCAAGGAAAAGGGTGGTCCTGACAAGACGGACAGGTTGAAGGACTTTATATGATGCATGGAGGAATGCTGGGAACGCATGTGGGCTCTAAAGGGGAACGAAACGGTGAGCAAGGGGGGGACGCGAATAGAGCGCATGGAGCGAGCGAGAGGAAGTGGCGGGAGCATGTGCCTTACCGCACAGCGCTCCTTTCGGCATTCCTCGGCACTCTCCTCCGTCCAAGCCACGTGTGCATCAACAGCCAGATACACCAACGTCCACGATAAAGATACCCAGCAGATACCTAGCATGCACGCGGGTACGCGTCCTCGATTCCCTCTGCCCCTTGATAATGACACCCACGGAGGTGTCAGCCACCTAAAAGACCAAGAGAACGGCAGATTGAGTGAAAGATAAAGCATCCGCATGTCGCTGTATCCAATCTCAACACATTGCATGCATATGGATCGCAGGGGAACCGGAGGTGCAAGCTGCGACGGTAAGTAATGGAGCGTTCTCAGCACAAGGGCTTCTCGACGCGGAGGAACGTGTGACCCCACGAGGAACGTTCATCCGAAGGCCCTCACCGAATTTTACTCAGTGAAGGGCACATTCTAGTACTGCATCCGCTTCCCACAGATATCTCGAAACAGACTGATCAGCCTCGCATATAAAAATACACCTCATACCATCGCTCGTCGTAAAGGCATCGCGGCTTGTCATCAGAACTCCCGTGGTGAAATGGGCCCCATATGGTTCATAGAGATCCGATGATAGACTCTAGAAGTCCGCGGCGATGATTAAACCGTACGTGTTATGATTGTGCGTCGACAATTCATACAGTGATCGTCTACTATGTAGTTATCCGCATCTGTCCGCCGTCAGTGAACAGTCAGTAACGGAGATCGGATCACTCACAGGTCACCATATCTTCACAACTCAGGACTTGGAAGGGTACTTCACCGTTGACCCGCAAGAACCCTTCTCAGGCGCATCTGTTGAAGAGCGTCAGGTATATACATGGCGATGTAGCAGCCAAGCATACCGATGAGCTCGAAGTCACCGTCAATGACGGAGCCCTTCAGGTTGTAATAGTAACTGATTTGGTTCAGTGCCCCGCTGCTGCAGTCAAGAGCTGGGGTAACCTGAACAGTGATATTAGCCAAGAAGAAACAAAAACGTTGCAGACGCTCACTCCAGATGCGGACTTGAGAGCAGCTACGACGTCTGACAGATCGTGCTCTCCACTCCCAGGTGTA